TTTTTTTTATTTTAAAGAGAAAGAAGAACAAAAGCAAAAATGATACAGAATGTTAAACAAGACAATAGGAAATTGACAGTGGTTATTATAGTGCATATTGTTATCTTCAAAGTAGTTATTCAGTTTACAAGATACAGACATGAAAAATGGATCAAACAATATAAGCACAAATCATTCCTTTCAATGAACTAAAAGAAGTTACTTATATAATTATCTTAGCTATCTTGTGTATATATGTACATTCTTTTCTGCCCTCATCCCAGTTCTTTCTATTTGAGCAGTTTCTTTCCCTTTCACAATATCTGTTGTGTATTTTGGGTCTTACTTACTCTTTCAGTTTCTTACACTAGGGAGACAATATGACATTTACACATGTGGGTCTGATTTGTTTCACTTATAAGTATGGCCTCTAGTGGCATCCATTTCCCTAAAAAGTCCTTGACTTTATCTTTCTTTACAGCTAAGTATTTTTGTATAAAAGTATCACATCTTTTTTATCCATTCCTTTGTTGATGGGTAACTTGGGTTGTTTCCAAGATTTAGCTATTAACATTGTGTTGCTATAAATATGGGTGTTCATATATCATTGTAGTGTGATGTTTTTAACTTGTTATTTAAATTGTAACATTTATGAGAAAGATACTTGGCTTTATCAGAAAGTATGGATCAATTGTTATGTGCTTTAAATAACCAATGGTTACGTTTATATATATATATACGTTTATATATATATATAAACATATATATATAAACGTTTATATATATATGTTTATATATATATATAAACGTATATATATATATAAACGTAACCATTGGTTATTTAAAGCACATAACAATTGATCCATACTTTCTGATAAAGCCAAGTATCTTTCTCATAAATGTTACAATTTAAATAACAAGTTAAAAACATCACACTACAATGATATATGAACACCCATATTTATAGCAACACAATGTTAATAGCTAAATCTTGGAAACAACCCAAGTTACCCATCAACAAAGGAATGGATAAAAAAGATGTGATACTTTTATACAAAAATACTTAGCTGTAAAGAAAGATAAAGTCAAGGACTTTTTAGGGAAATGGATGCCACTAGAGGCCATACTTATAAGTGAAACAAATCAGACCCACATGTGTAAATGTCATATTGTCTCCCTAGTGTAAGAAACTGAAAGAGTAAGTAAGACCCAAAATACACAACAGATATTGTGAAAGGGAAAGAAACTGCTCAAATAGAAAGAACTGGGATGAGGGCAGAAAAGAATGTACATATATACACAAGATAGCTAAGATAATTATATAAGTAACTTCTTTTAGTTCATTGAAAGGAATGATTTGTGCTTATATTGTTTGATCCATTTTTCATGTCTGTATCTTGTAAACTGAATAACTACTTTGAAGATAACAATATGCACTATAATAACCACTGTCAATTTCCTATTGTCTTGTTTAACATTCTGTATCATTTTTGCTTTTGTTCTTCTTTCTCTTTAAAATAAAAAAAAATTTAAAAATTTAAACAACAGAATGTTTTTTAAGACAAGCCAGCATACACATGCACATCACAGTTTTTAAAAATGCTACCATAAAATGACAAAAATGTGACAAAATGTAATCTCCAAAAGCAATCTGTAACTGGGCATGGTGACACATGCCTGTAATCCCAGCACTCGGGAGGCTGAGGCAGGAGGATCACTGCGAGTTCGAGACCAGCCTGGGATACAAAGTGAGCTCAAGGCCAGCCTGAACTGCAGAGTGTGACCCTGTCCCAAAAAGACATGAAAACAAAAACAAAAGGAATCTGAAGATACTGTCTCATCAAAAGCTAATTATTCAAACTGAACAGTAGCTCAAAATCACTAACATATTTATTCTTTCATTTAACAATGTGCAAACATGGCAGGATGTTACCTTGGTTAAATACATAAGAAAAAAATACATACCTTCACCAAATATAAACCTTCTGTCTGTCCATGTGCTGAGAGGCAGGGTGCTGACTCACCTCAGAGTGCTGACTGAAGTGTGCAAAATTCCTCCAAACTCTTGTGTCTCACTGGATCCAACCTGAATGTCCCATGCTTTCTGTCCCAGAGAGCCCCTAACCTGCTGAGGCAGCAGTGAGGTCCTTGCTGCTTAAC